GGCTAGGGACGTGTCGGGTTTGGAGGGGCAGCGCAGGGGTTTAAGCGTGCGGGCGCTCGCAGAGGCCGCGGAGCTCGCGTTCACGCTGGGCAGGACCGTGGACGCGGGTCTGGGACCTCTGGGTGCAGCTCAGCCCCAGGAAGGGATGCCAGGACAGATGGTCGCTTCCAAGGCACGTGTGATTCCTATGGGACACGTCCCAACACGAGGGACTCAGGCACATGACGAGGCCACCCCTGGTGCTGGGACTCCTGATCTGGGAGCATCGCAGGGAGCCTTTGCTGGCGTCTCTAGCCAGGTGCTAGAGAGGACCCAGGGAGAAGGGGCTCATGCGTGTTCACCACCAAGGGAGGCGGCTCTGAAATCAGAAAACCCTCCAGCCAAAATCATGCATCCAGAATTGTTGACTCAGGCGTGGGGGGCTTTGGATGGGGACGAAATCCAGGGAAGAGGTGCTGATCTAGAGGTGTCTTCACTGGAGGCTCCTAAGGCCGAAGTCACGTGGGGGGACGGGGCCAGCGCAGATGTGCTGGAGGAGCCTAAGGAAGTGATGAGGAGGCAGAACACCAGCCCTGCTCCGTACCCGTCCAACACCCGCGGAGCAGAAAGGCTGCAGGGAGAGGGGACTGATGCAGAGGTGAGGCCTCCTGATGGAGCCTGTGATCTAGATGTGGAGCAGGGGGCAAACCATGARGCGGGCAAGCGATTTTGGGGCCAAATGGAAGGTTTCCAGCTAAAGCAGGGCGGTGAAGCTGGCACAGCCTCACGCATTTCAGAGATGCCGTTACCATCCAGGGGGAGAAGGCAGGCAACACTGATGCAAGAGGATGTTCTCATTCCAGATGTGACCCCGCTAGGTGCTTCAGGACAGGAGCAGGTCTCAACACAAGCAGATAAGGTGAGGCCAGATGTTGCTCCCGAGCAGCTGCTGCCRAAGGAGAAGCTGCTGCAGGTGATGGAATTGGAGCAGGCAGCTGCTGAACCTCCAAAAGGGGAGGTGGCACCAGTGTCTACCCTTCGGCCGAGTGTCCAATGCAAGGACAACATGGGGAGCAATCCCATGGGGACACCTGGAGAGAGCCCGCTGAGGGACACAGCCAATAGTGGGGTGCAGCCTTYAGCACAACTCGCAGAAGAACAAAGAAGTGGTCTGGATGTTGGCCATGGGATGGTCAATGGTCACTGGGATGGGAAACAAGATGTTGGGCTGAAAGCAAGTCAGGAAGCAAAGCYCAGACCAGAACATTCAGGGGCCACGCTGGTCCATGGGGCAGCACCTGCTCCAAGAGGCTCTCCTGAAACCTGCCCTGATCCAGATCACCTCTACAACGTGCTGTTTGTGGGGGACTCCCATGTGGGCAAGACATCGTTCCTGTACCGGTTACACGCCAACTCCTTCAACCCGCATCTGACTGCTACAGTAGGTAGGCTTCCTTCTGCTCTTCTGCAGCACAGCTCTGTCCTTGCTTGGATAGTCGTGGCCATTCTCTTGTCCCCTCCCTCATCCTTTACTCTTTGAAACAAGACGCAAATCTGTTTAAATTCACCAAAATCCATTGCTCACTGTCAGTCAAGGCACAACACAACCTGCTGGGGTCATTACAGGCATGGCACTGCTCACGTCCAGCACGTGATGGACTTAGGAGGATCTAGGACCTCCAAAGTTGGGGGTCATGTGCTCCAGAGAATTAATGCTGCCRTGCTTTAAGCAGGGCTTGTTTCATAGCCAAAGGCCCTGGTGGGTTTTATTTGWTTGTTTTGTTTTGTTTCACTTTCTTTTCACTCCTCTCTTAACCAACGTACTTCTACTCAGCCTAAGATTTGGCACCTTGTCAAAATCTGGCCACTGAAGATCTAAAAGCCCGAGAGATGAGCTGCAGGCCACACATGCCCTGTGTGCTTGCTGCACCCATCCTATAGCTTGGCCAACCCTACAGCATCAAAAGTTCCTGTTGCGTATGTCCTAGGGCTGGATTACCAGATCAAAAACCTTATTGTGGACAACAAGCTCTTCACTCTCCGCCTGTGGGACTCAGCTGGGCAAGAAAGGTAAGGTCCTGTGCCGCGGCAAAGTAACCGGCATGTTTGGGTAGCTTGTGGAGATGTATTTTCAAGCTCAGAATTCAAGTATTTAGAGGTATGGCTAAGTAAAACCTCTACCAATGGTGTTTTTCTCTGGAAAACATCATTTTCAGCCTTCACTTGAGCAAGATTCTTCTATTTCTGTAGAATGAGACCTTGTTATTCCCCATCGGTGATGGTTTCAAATGTCCGCAGGTACCACAGCATCACCAAGCAGTTTTTCCGGAAGGCAGACGGTGTCGTGCTGATGTACGACGTCACCTCSGAGTATTCCTTTGCGGATGTGCGCTACTGGCTGAGCTGTATCCAGGTGGGTGGACTGGGAAATGCGCCGTGTCGCTGCTTTTCACCATTCTGCAGTGCTTCCAGATAGGCCTGTTGCTAATACTGTTATGATGATTACTGACTTTATCTGAGAACTGTGAAGTGCAAGTGAGGGCCTAAAGATATTGGAACAAAAAGTGGCTAACAATATTGGAACAAAATAGGTGGCCACTTGGCTCAGGGCYGTTAAACCATAGGTGGATCATCTTCTGAAAGATATCACAAAGTCAAATACAAAGCAAGTTCACTACAGGCATCGCTCAGCTAGGTCGCTGCTGTTTAAGAGGTAAGAAAGACTATTTGAGAAGAAAAACACAGCTTTTCTTGAGTTCTTTAACTAAGTTAATGGGATTTAAGGTTTCATTATCAGTCCRAGCCTACGGGTATCCTTGATAGTGCTCCAAGATGTGTTTGTTCAATGTCTCTGGCCATGCTTCAGAGAAGATCTAGATGGAACCTGCTTCTTCCCTCTTTGACTGCCAGGAGGGAGCAGAAGACGGAGTCACCATTCTGCTGCTGGGGAACAAAACGGACTGCACTGCGGAGAGACGGGTCCCAAGAGCAGAAGGGGAGCGCCTGGCTCAGGTAGGTGCCATCCCTGAGAGTGCAACCTTGCCACTAGCTGAACACAACCAAGACGAAGCAAGGGCGCTGGAAGGATCCGAGATCCACCAGCTCYTACCTACCTGAGGACCTTGGGGAAGGTGGAAAGCCCTTAACCCATCTGCTGTTCATTAATGGTCAGGAAAGGGACAGCAGGGACTGCCAAAGGGACCACGTTGCCATCCTGACCTCCTTGTTTTCCAAGGGCTAATTCATATTACCAGTTTGGGATTTGGACCGGTATCAGCTGAGCTGTTTTACATATGGAGGCACCAGGACAGAGAGGTTAGATGCTTTTTTTTCCAAAAAAACCCCTAGTTACTGGCAAAAATTGAAAGACCTGGAACATCTCATAATCATCTCCATATTCAGTGCTCTAATCAGACTGTTTCACATCTGCTGCTGTCTGCAGCATCTGTCTTCTCCTCAATATTAAATATTGCCCTTGCAGCTACGAGAAGAGCTGGATTTCATCCTTCACATTCTTGTAAATCAATAATTCTTCAGTTGCCTGGTTCCTTGAATCTGTGAGGCCCTCTGGYCCTTGCACTTCCACTTGGCAGTGACTTTTCCTTGGATGTTTACCTCCAGATCTACGAAGCTATTTTAACGCAATGCAAGAGAAGTGTGCTTCTATTTGGAATTTTTGTCTTCCAGGAGCATCAACTTACCTTTTATGAATGCAGTGCTGCCTCGGGCCACAATGTCCTCGASTCCATGGTCAGTCTAATCAGGTGAGCCAAAATTTTGCCCAGCTGCAAATTAGTGGGCAGCCAAAAGCCAGGGAGCGCTGCAAGATGCGCCTTTCATCCTACCAGGTTACTCAAAATCCGTGAAGATCAACTGAAGACCAAGGTAGAAGAGGAACCAAAGCCAGCTCGGAAGAAATGGGGCTGCTGCTGATGTGGGCTGGTTGCCTGCTTTGAGCTGAAACAGTTGGAAAAGTGTAAAAATAGCCACAAAGCCCCAGGTCTGCTGCCCATGCGCCCAACTTGGCTGCTTCCCACTGCTCCGAGCAAGAGCCATTGGGAACGCTCAGCCTCTYGTCCGTCTCCTTCCCATGTAATCAGCCTCAAAGTATCCAAATGCTTCAAAAAACTTGTCAGGAAACTCGACTGCTTGGAATTTGAGACTGAAACGTGGCTAACGAATGAGRCGGAGAAGGAGCCCGGCTGCATCTGGAGCTCTCAGTTTAATCTTTATTTCTTTACAACTCAAAGCAGGGAATTGTCTCTTTGCAGGGAAAGCCACATAGAATAAGGAGGAAAATAACATATATATATATATAAGGGTTTTTTTTTTAATATTACAGAGGGAAATGTATTGCTTCCTCCCCAGCAGCTCAACAGATATATTTAAACACAATGAATACGTGCAGATTTTGGAAAATAACTGTGCTCAGATTGCTTTTTGTTGCCACTCTTATTTAAATGTATATTCAGCAGAGTGCAGGGAAAGCTGTTCTGTTGATGGTTTTACAAAAATACAGTCAATAAGAGTTTGGTTTTCAGTAATATATATATATAAAAAAAGGCTCTCATTYTGGATTTTGGGGATTCTGTTACAGCACTCAGCAAGAGCATTTACTTGCAAGAACAGATGGGGTTGAGGTGGCCCAGGCTAAACTCTCCCATTAGATGGCAGCAAATGCAGCAATTCCTTCCATCTATGTAAAATCTCTTTTGCAAATAAAGAAGAGGACGCTCTGAAGCAGAGACCTGGAGAAGAGATGGCTCAGAAGACCGTCAGGCTGAAAGAAACCTCTGTTTTATCCCACCAGAAGTTACATCCACAAAAGCCAAAACAAATTTTGCTCTTATAAAAACCTCCCGCGCCAACTTGGAAATGCATCTTGCCAAGCTGAGGGAAACGAAGGGAGAGAAAGAAAAAAAGAAATAAAAGAAGGCATGCTGAGAAACCTGCTGCCTCACTTTCAAAGCATCTTCCACCTTTAATAACCGGGAATCCCGGTTCTTTGCAGTTTCAGATCAAAGGGACTCCTCATTTGCAAGCTCTTCAAGGCATGCATGAGTAGTTGGAGCCAGATCAAGGTCTACGGTATTAATAGTAACATGCAAAAACATTTGTTTGTACCACAAGTGTATACATATATATATATATTAATGCCAGGCTGCTTCCCTTCAAGCCATTCCTAATTATGAAAGGTGCCCCATGAGAAACATGGGAATTTCCCAAGTGATGTCAGGGATGCAAAATCTATATTCCCAGCCTGAAGCCATCGGGCGTTTCCCATCCCTCGGCTCCTTTGCGCCTTTAAAGCTGGATGGGATCCTGAGGAATTTTAACAAATCACCTGTTCTGGATACACCGGTTCCCAGGCTGGTCAGAAAAGTCATTTATTCCCAGTGGTGGATAAAGCAAAATAAGGAGCAAAGGGGAAAAGAGATGAGCTCATAGAGGGGAAACTGAGGCAAGCAAAGGGGAAAAAAGCACCTGCTCCTGTGAGCAAAGAGCTGGAGCTCTTTTTATTTTATTTTTATTTCCCACTTCACAAGCTGGGATTTAAAAGGCAGGAAACGTGGGACTGATAAGGGAAGCACTTTTCCTCGCGGTGTTTAATGAAAAGGGCAGAATTCGGCGGCGCAGGAAGTTGTTGGGGCCGAGAACTCCAACACCGTGGGGCAGGGGAGCCGCGCACGGCACGGGGGTCCTGGGGGGCTGGCGGTGCTCAGGTGGGCGCTTGGGGGGTCTCGGTGCTGTGGCAGT